TCACTCGCCTAACGGCTCGTGAAATTACGTATAACAATTTTGAAATATCACTCGTGGTATTTATTTACTTCCATCCTTCCAACCCGTTGCAACAGACAATACAATACAATACAATAATTTTTATTGACTCTCCCAAAGGGTAGACTGCAAACAGTCCGAATTTTTGCGTGTTCAAGAACGCACGAGCTGTCAAACAGAAGGTCTGGAACGAGGCTGAAAACACTGAGCGAGACTCACAGGCCCTACGGGCTCGCGCGCGTACGACTCTTATGCCACGCTTTACCGATTTCTTCACTGATTTTGAGAAAAAAAACCGACTGTTTTGCAGTCTACCAAACGGCTATTCTGAAGTTAATTTACAAATGCTAAAAAGAAGGGGATAAGAAGAAAAAGCTTAAAATGATTACAATCTTGGTACAAAACTAAAAGCCTAAACTATGCGCTTACAATTACGTTATCTCTTTGGAGATCTAAACTAAATCAAATAGTAACTATTTATCGCATGGGGTCTGCACCCGCAATTCGCGTTTGACGCTCCTCTTAAAGGTAATTATAACATAGCTGGAAAATTCGCCTAATCTAATTCAATAGCGCGAGCGTGCTTCATATTCCTATTGAGCACGCTGATGACGTCAATAAACTATTCGTAATTCCCCGAGTTGTTCTCCTGAGTGCATCCATAACTCAGCAGTACACGATGAAGCGCTTACTATGTGTTTTATAAGGAAATTTAAGACGAAACGTTTGAATTTGTTAACCGATAGTAAGGAAAAGAGGTGAGTGATGTTGTTGTTGTCATCTCCGCGAGCTGTGCGGGCTATGGCGTGTGCAAATCATTCTTTAAAAAGTTGTTTTCTCTCAATAACAATTTTTCGGTGAATTAATAGTTTCCAGGCACTTAAATATGGATTTTACAATCATTTTAGAGTACACTTTCTCTCAGTTTCAGGATAAAAGCTTAACTATGAGGAAAAAAAATATAGTCACGTAAACATTGACGCGTACTGCTTTGAGTGCGCCCTACAATAATAAAATTTTAAATTAACTGCTGCATTGATCGCTTTGATAATGTTATAAAACAATTAGTTCATGCTTCAGCAGTGCGTATGTCGAGATATACGCACGCTGACGCATGAACTAATTGTTAAATAGTGACGGGCTATTTCTAGTGTCTGCGGTCAGAGAGTTCCAGGCACTTACAGCGCGAAAGTAAAATGGCCGTTGCGCGGTAACTGTTCTGCATAGAGGGAGATTTAGCTTGTCCCTTTTCCTCGTGTTGTAGTGATGTGTATCTGATCGCTTACTGAGTTTACTACTCAAGTACAACGGAGCGAGGCCATTAACAATTTTGTATACTCGGGTAGTATCACGGACTAATAGCTGTTCTTTGATGGAGGGCTACCCTAATTCCCAAAGAACAGGCGAGATGTGATCAAACTTTTTAGTATCTGTTAATACGCGGGCGGCGAATAGAAGTTTTGCACTAATTGTAACTTCTTCCTACGATTTTCAAAGAGCAAGAAAACGAGAAGAAGAGGAAATACAACCAGAGAGTGATGGATGTAGAGATGCGAACTTTTACACCACTGCCGTTTGGTACAAACGGGGGCATGGGACTCGACGGTCAGAACTTTTTAAGAACTCTCACAAATAAGCTTTCGACTAAGAACAATGACCCCTACGCCAGCGTTATTTCCTGGATTCGAATACAGCTCTCATTTGCTATATTAAGAACTGTACACAGATGCGTCAGAGGTTCTAGATATCCATTCAAATCACGTGAAGTCTCAGAAGACTTCACTTTTCGCTGTAGCTGGTCTACATCTGCACTCGTAATTTTAGGCCTAGATTTTTGATAGTTTTTTTCTAAGTAATGCTTACTTTTCCTTTACCCACTTTTAAATTATTCACAATTGTAAATAGTTTTCTATCGTGGACATATGTTTCGTTTTTAATATGTAAACAATACGATATAGTTTAAAATTGTAAATATTACTTATTGTTGTGATACTTAAATAAAGATTGGTTTAGTTATTATTATTATCATCATCATCATATTCATTATCATTATTACTATTACCGTATATACTGTTTTCAAGACGGGAACCTCGTTCTCAGGTTCTCTCAAGGCAGAGCAAGATGTAAATTTTGCGCCCTTTACGAAGCATGTTCTGTTGCCAATATTCCCAGAGGAGTCCTGGGTACTGAGAAAGAATCCGGATACGTGTAGACGTGGAAAATTTTGAGTCCGGAAAGAAAAAGCCCTTTCCATAACTGTTAACGCAAGTTTAACATGGGCTTCAAAGTCGATCTTTCTAAGAATATTAAAAAATGTATTATTTGCCTTATTGTAACTTAATCCAGGGAATATATTACATCACGACCGTAGGCTTGGTTACCAATGGTGGCTTTCACCGTTAAAAGAAATGGAAATAGGCATCCGTTTACAAAAGGGAAATAGCCATCTCCGACTGACCCAGATTCCTCTACCCTCTTGCAAAAAATCCCACTTTGACATCTCGCAACAACTGGCCGCGTATTTCATAACGACTGGTACAGAAAGGCTCGAAGGACTTTTATTAATAGAGTGCTTTAGATTCTGAGACAAGGACGAGGAGGAGGACGACGATATTTTCTCAGTCAGTACTAAGTAGTTAGTGCTGTTGCGTGAGCCGACGTAATTTTGGCAGGAAAAGGTGATAGCCGTCGTCATTCTACTACGACGTTTAGTTAGAGTGTCGTTGTGGCGGGGAACAAGTTATCAAATTTTAAAAGTTTATTCATCTTGGAACCGGAAAGGGGCTAAAACTTCTTCAATAAAAATAACCGCACAAACGTTTCAGTTGAAAAGTAGTACAATGAAGCTCCCCGGTTGAATATTTTTCGACAATACGCCGAAAAACTTTCAGTTAAATCTTATACTCGTAGTCGCCCTCGTCCTCAAATCTAAAGCTCTCTAATCTATTATCATCTAAACACTCAGATGTGAGAGGCCCCGTGTTAATGTAAGCTAACCAGTAGCTTGCTCCTGTAGGGGGAAATCCTCATCTTTGTCGTCTCGCAGTTCTTCCAAAACAGCTTTACTTGCCTTATGCATAAGGTAGCACTTGAAACAGCCTCCAATCAAAGCAATTGTTAAAGCAAGTCCACCTACGCAATATCCCACGATTTTCAAAATGGCTCCTGTGGACACTAAACAGAAATACGGAAAAACGTACCTCCGTAAAAAGTGCCGGATGAAAATAAACAAAGCTACGTTACGCTATCTGAAGTGCACACTATTTCAGTGGGTGTTATATCAAGCTATATTGGATTAAGCGATGCTATCACAACAGTTTGCATTATCTGTTACCAGCTCTTAACTTACGCCAAACACACAATTTTAGCAAATTTTGTTGAGATACTGCTGAGATTATTCTGTGACATAACAGTGTGCTATAGAAATCTATGGGTTAGTAAGGACATTTTTCCCTCAGGAACCAATTGTACATAGGCTCCTGCTACAGTCTGGAGTCTGTTCCAGTCAGAAGGAACGATACGAAAAGCAAGCACGAGGAGGAATCGCACGAGGTAAAAGAAAAACTGGCGAGGAACTCAGACGTGCACTGGGGAGAGGAGCCCTTTCTCCCCGAGACCCTGAAGGATTTTTTTCTCTTACGCTCTCTTTTCCGGTTCTGCTTGTCCCGACTACAGTGGAACCTCTCCATTAGAACACCTCTATTTAAGGGACACCTCCATTCAGGGGACACAAAAGTTGGTCCCAAAAAAATGTCCCCATAATCTTTGTATGTGTTACCTCTATTTAGGGGAAAGGGACAATTTTGTGGGTCCCAAAGCCCAGGTTTAACTTCCATTCAGCAGGGTTCCAATTAACGCACACGTGTGCGTATTTTGCAATCAAAAATCGAAAAGGACGAACGCTTCTTTGAGCGCAAGAGTTTCACAGACACAGAAGGACATCTTTGCAACAATCTTGGAAATCCCAACGAGTATCATCAACTCGCCATTTGCTCTAATTGGGGAATATGTCCACCCAACACTATTTGACGTTTTTCAGCCCGCGAGGACGAAACCAACACAAACTTCGTCTCTCGGGCAGAGAAAACAAAACTGATGTAGATCCTCAGCAGATTTCCAGACCCAAAAAGCGTGTATTCAAGTCCAAATGGCTCGAAGAATTTTCATGGTTAATGTATAGTTCCACCGATGATCACATGAAATGCAAAACATGTCTAGATGCAAACGGATGTTTGGCAACTAATTTTCAGCGATCAGCCTTAGATCGCCATCAGTTGGAAAATAAACATACCACAGCTGTGCGAAACAAAGAAGATCTAACGAAACGTTCGGGTGGAAGAAATATCAGGTTAGGCTTTTAAAGCCTTTAGTAACAACGGTTCTGTTTGTGGCAAAGGAAGAAATTGTAGACCGCAAATTACCCCCTCCAACTCTTGTAATCACATTCACACAAAGTAGGACCTCCAATTTCCTGGGACTGGGGGTCTCAAGGACCTCTAACTTTTTAAACGAGTGGGAACTCTACCATTCTGGGGACACTTTTGCTCTCCAAACGTGACTGAACACAAAGTGGGTAGATAAGTTTACGTGCACACTTATCACAATTATGGTGACAGCTTTCACAGCATGAGCTATGAATGAAGCATATTTTGCTTGTCTGGTTAATTATTAACAAACACAAACCAACCTCTACTCAGGGGACACCTCAAATGAGGGGACACTTGCCTGAGTCCCGAGGGTGTGCCCTGTGTCCTATGTAGGGGAGCAAGGGTGGCGTAGTGGTGAGAGCAATCGCTTCCCACCAATGTGGCCCGGGTTCAAATCCCGGCGTCGAAGCCATATGTGGGTTGAGTTTGTTGTTGGTTCTCTCCCTTGTGCCGAGAGGTTTTTCTCCGGGTACTCCGGTTTTCCCCTCTCCTTAAAAACCAACACTTTAAAATTCCAATTCGATCTGGAACGCACGGACACGTTTTAACGAGTTCTCATGAACTCCTAAGTGCATCCTGGGTAAACAAATTACAATTTACAGTTTTGTCCCATTCTTGTACACACCCGTCGGGTAGGTTGCTTGGTTTTCTAGCCTCTTCTTTTTTATTGAGCAAAGTTACCTTTACCATTACAAACTTACTTTTCGTCTTGTAACTGGCTTTAAATCCAGGATACTTTGTCTTTCCACTGGATTTGAATGTCAAATGCATATCCCAGGAATCTGATGTTATTGATTCAGGTATATCTGCTCCACAAAACTTTCCAACTAGTTCACTCGTATCAAACTGGCCATCACGGACTTCCACATAATCATCAGAACAGCCACTGGATCGAGACAGATTGAAGTAATCAAAGGACAGTGTTATTTCGTAATTAGAATCCACAATGATGAGCCAGATGCACTTGACATCGTCATCGTAAGGTAGAGGATAGTTGTAGCTTGCAAGTTCCCCACTTTTCGTCTCTAACTTGGTAATGTCGAAGCGTTCAGTACACGAAATAGAAGCTGGTACTTAAAATTAAAAAATAAAATGGTATGAAATAATCAGTTACTTTGTAAGCTCCCACAGTGACGTTCCTATGGCTTAGTGTCGCGTTCCTCCCCAACGAACATTCGTTATTGACCAAGATGACTGGATATTGGCCAAGTTCGTTTTCGCGTTTTACGGACCCGCGCGAGAAGTCGAGCTAAATAAAATGCAGTGAAGAAGAACGAGGCCAATAACCAGCAATCTTCAACGAACTAGCTAACCTTCGGTTCCAGAGACTTTTTCTGCAGGATTCTGGGGGCTTAGTCAACTGAACCAAGCTTCGCCGCTCATGGGTTCCGCTCGCGCAGAAGCCAAAGCATTTCGCCTCACACAAGCAGAAAACCTCTAGTACCCAGGGTAGAACAAGCCCGGTAGATAAAGAGTTGAGGAAACAACGTGGGAAATCCCAAGCGGGCAGGATGAGCCGAGCTTGCCCGCTCGGTAAGCCAATCAAAACGAAGGATTCACTTCAACTTGCCCACTCGTGGATTCAGATGTACAATGTAAGAAGGTATGCGTTCAAGTCAAGAATAGTTGTTGTTTTACAAATATAACCTATCACATTTTTGCCGTTCTCGTTGCTGTCGCGGTCATCGTTGCTTTAAGCTCCTTAATATCATGCAGGGAAGTAGGCTTGGCGCATCAAAATGGAACGAGCGAAAACCGTGAGTGTTTTGGGCCAAACAGGTTCCAAGCCACAACTTTGTTCGTTCGAAAAAAATGTGGGTCAAACCTATGACCGTTTTGGCCTAAAATGGTATCCGAATCAGTGACCGCTTTTGCCCACCTAGGGTAAAACTGTGACCTTAAGAGGAGTTCGGATTTTGCCAAGCTCATGGCTTTAGGGCAATAATCCTGTTTGCTGAGTTACTTTCATTTTACCAGTTTTAAGTTAATTATAGAGACCAAGACGTATCTACATAACAGAAGCTTATAGCCCGCCTTAGACTGCTAGCAGTCCCATTTCAGGCAGTCGTGAAGTAATATGTAAAAAAACTAGGCGAGTGCTTCGTCACGGGTGATAAAGCACGAAGCCTGAGTTTTTGACATGCAAATGCAAATGCAGGTGTTTGATCTCAAATGAAAAAAAAGTCTCGGATGAAAAGCTGGTGTTGTTTTATCTGGTGTTTCATTAGGTATCAAGATTCATTTACCTGAGCCAAATGGTCGTCATTAATTGGCTTTTGACTGCATGAATATGTAATGAGTTTGAGAATGCCAAATAAATGGCTAGAGAAACTGAACGAACCAAAAGGAAAGCTGGGTAGGGGAAAGGTTGGTTGGAATTCTTTCTTTTCTTTTCTTTTTTCCCCTTTTTTTTACGACGTTTACTCGCTTGATTCACTTGCCCGCGCAACAAACCTGAGTAACCGCTAGCATTTTATAACACTCTTTAAACCTTACCACGATCCACTGCCTCAAACACAGCATCGAAAAAAACGTCGCCAACCAAATACTCCTGGCGTGAATCATATTGAACCAAAAGGTGACGGCCACTGGAGAAAACGTTGAAGTTATAGTCTTTCCCACAAAACTTCTTCAATAGGTTGCTTGATGAACTTTTACCATCAAAGATCTTAAGAGAAGAACTGCCACAACTGTAACCCAGGCGAAATGCCTTGATTCTCAGTCTCACAAGGTATCCCTCGGGTACTGTTATCACCCAAGTACACATGATCTTAGTCGGGTAGTCCTCCGGGTAGAGCGGCGAGAAGAGGCTTCCTGATGAACTCGTCAGGGGTATGACGTTGTTTTGACCTGGATTTTTGCACGCCCCCATGGCCGCTGAAAATTGAATAACAGTACAATTCATTAGGCTCTGTTCACACTAGCTTTTGTACATTCCTAGCCACAACCCCCCCCCCCCCCCCCCAGCACCCACTCCGATTTTTCTGAGGGGTTGGGGCGATTGTACACATACTGTGTATACACATATAAGCGGTTTAACGCGACAATTTTCATTTGCTCGTTTTTTCGTGTGTAAAATTTACGCAATTTTTCAATGACAAATTTCGTTCGCGACAAAATTGGCCAACAAAACACGCGAAACGTTGTTTGTGTTCACGACTTGTCATACGAATAATGTAACATCATCCGGCAGGGTTGATATTACTTTTTGTGGTCTCTCACGGTATCCATCTACTTACGGTTAACTGTTAGCTCTTAGCAGTTAGCATTAGATCCCGTCGACCAATACTCCTTTAGACAATACTGTAGTCTTAGAACATCAGTCTAAATTCTCTTTATTAGTTCGGCCTCACTAGTCTCTGTGCTAGAGGTTATTACTTTAAGTCGTATATTTTATTTTATCTTATTTAGTTCTTCTTCCTACAGCGTAATACTAAACAATTATTTGATCAGTGAGGTTTTTGTGATATCCGGAATAATCAAGGTCGAGGTAGGTTTTATCAGCCGAGCCGAAGGCCGAGGCTGATAACACCTACCGAGACCTTGATTATTCCGGATATTACAAAAACCGAATCTAATAATTGTTTTATTATACATTGTTTTGAAATAAATAACGACAAATACACCGTCGCACGGAACCGATTTGACATTGCACTTGGAAATTATGCATTGCGAGTGCAACCTACAGATCAGTCAGTTATCTGCTAGCAGATAATTAACTAATCAGTAGGGTGTGCATATTTCCAAAATTTACTGTAGGCTCTTAGCCAGTGAGAAGATAGATGTGAGTACAATGTATAATAAACAGAAATACTTACGATTAGCGAGGACCTTGTAGCTTGCATGGAATCCTGGATACATTTTGGACATGTCAGCGACAAATTTTACGAACACATTTGATTGGTTCGACACAATAACTGGAGGAAGGGAATAACCACAGAATCTGCCAATTAACTCCGAACGCCATTCATATTCGTCTTTGCTCTGCCTAATTTCTACATAGTCGCCTTCACAGTTTTTGGATTGTTGCAGATTAAATGAATGAAATGTTAACTGAATGATAAATCCAACCGGGCGATTAATATACCAGGAACACTTGGCGTTATTAGGGTAATGGAGAGGATATGAAAAGCTGGCAAATTCTCCCTGATCGTCTTCTAGCAAACGTTTTTCTCCCAAACAAGAATAGTCTGCAGGTCGCTCCTTGATAGTTTCATACGTAGCTAAGAATCCATTGTAATAGGCCTTGCGCCGAGAATTATACTCAACAAGCAAACTGTTCCCCTTAGAGAACACAACTTCCTCGATGTATTTGTTGCAGAATTTTCCAAGTGATATGCGAGTAGAATTTGTCCCATCGAAAACGTTTACATAATTCTCTTTACATTCTCCATAATTTTTCCAAAATGTTAGCTTGATAAACTGCCCGATTGGTACTGTGATATTCCAAGTGCAGGTACCCTTTCCTGGAAATGAGGGGAAGCCAGGGGTCGAGAAAGTCAGTCCGTCACCATCCACTTGAACAATGCTGTTTTGAGTTGGGTCGCAAGTTCCTGATATAACTGTACATAAAAAATCCAAACATGTTTTTGCAATTTATAAAGCAAGTTTCATTAACTTCAGTTAGCAATTTCTGGTTGTTCCAGCTCATGCCCACTCTGTGTCAGGCAATTCTGAGCTTTTGAGAGAGTGTAGCATTGCCTGACAAAGAGAAACAGAAAGAAGAACTAGACTTTCGCCTAGTTAGCTCAGATAGCCGGTAAAATGCCGCCATGCCAAGCGGGAGCTAGATGTATCAAAAACAATTATTGTCTACACCTGCCCCACAATGCAGCAGTGATTCTCACAATGATGTTCATTGAGTACATATTTCAAGAATCCAATACAGGATTAAATTTTTCATCAAATTTTCCTCGGATCTGTTTTTCGCATTCGAAAGAAATTAAAAGTCCCAGGGTTCTCATTAAGTGTTAAAGTAGACAGCTATGATGTAAAAGCAGGTGGCTTGGTAACTTGAATCGCCAGCCCTCTGGTGATTTTTTGCGATCAGTTTTGCCATTGCGTGCATTTCTGGACATCAGTGGCAATTTCAGGCTTTCGCTCTCACTTAACACTTTTTTTTCCTAAAAAGTAGACGGCTCAAACCTCCCAGTAGCCGGTTTTTTAGCCGGCTGCAAGCACTTAATGAGAATCCTGAAGTCCAGCATCAATTTTTGCATTGCAAAAGTTTACTAGGTGTTCATCTTGGGGATCTGCGCCGAAAATCACGCACAGATCACGAATCGCAAAAATCTGGTTTAACCTTGAATCCGCTCGGAACACTGATTCTTTAGACCTTAATTTTAGAAAAGAAAAGCAATCCGTTCCTGGATTGAAGAATCCAGATTTTGAGATAGATCTCCCAAAGAAACGCACCCTTAGTTTGGAGAAAAATTCAATAAAACCTTGCATCCCGGCTCACCCTTAAAGTGATCCCAGCAATGCCATTCTCCCCTTATTACTGAATGGGTAAAGCTTCACGATCTCTTGCATAAAGAGAGCATCCCTTTCCAGACACACACAAATTAATTCACGAGTATCCATTGTCCTCTCTGTCCCGGTAAAAGTCAGAGTATCTTGTTGAATATTGATGAATCTTATTTCCCGTTTGAAAGATTTGGGTAAAAGCGATAGGTAAAGCGTCATGATGATATAGGTACATGAAAGAACTTACTTGGAGCGAGTAGATACTAAAAACATCAAGAATTTTCAAATTCGCAAAACGAGGTTTACTTGACGCCTTGTAGTCAGCCTTAGAGATCGCCCGGACTGCTCTTTTCTGGAGTAGGTAAATTCGTTGCAGGTTGGTGACATAAGTAGAGGCCCAAATTAAATTGCAGTAGGTAAGATATGGATAAATAAGCGCATAGTATAGTGTAAAGAAAAGATTTTGAGTGCAAATAGTGTTTAGCTTTATAAAGTAACCCGGCAGATTTAGAAATCTTAGCCGCAATAAAATTAACATGAGTTTTCCGCGTAAGGTGCTGATCAATATAAACTCCAAGGAAATTAATATTATGTACTTGTTCAAGAACATTATTTCTATAATAATTAACACCTGTCTTGTGATAGGTAACGTTTTTTGCCTTGGTCTGAAAATCATTAGTTTTGTTTTCTTAACTTTGATTGATAACTTATTGGCTTCTAGCCAAGTTGAAACATTGTGGAGTTGGTCGTTAAGATGGGAGGTAAGTATATCCAGGTCACTATGTTCAAAAAATATACTGGTGTCATCAGCAAATAATATAAATTCGAGTTCATTAGAGCTAGAGCAGGCTGGGAGATCATTGATATAAATAATAGAAAGAGGGAGCCTACTATAGAGCCTTGCGATACGCCACAAATTTGTCTTAAAGCATCGGATTTAGAATCGTCAACTTAGACATACTGCATTCTATTACGAAAATAGTCAGTTATCCCGGCATTGATGGGCTGTCCCAGTGATGCCACATGCTTCCAATTTTGATAGTAGTATTGCATGATCTAGAGTACCAAAGGCTTTTGATAAGTCAAGAAATATTCCGGCGAAATTTTTTTGGCAGTCAACGGCGTAGCAACTTTGTTCACAAAATTAATCAAAGCGGGGGAAGTAGAGTGGCCAGGACGAAAACCGAATTGATGTTTAAATAATATGTCATTATCGACTAAGAATTGAGATATGCGATTATAAACAGCTCTTTCGCGATTATAAACAGCTCTTTCGAAAACTCACGGCAGTTCAGCTCATGCTTTACTTTTTAATGAACATAATTTTTGCGTTATTTGTTTGAATTGCGGTCTTTACGCACGAAAGTCAATTTGCCCGACGGCGTTTGCCAGGACTTAAGTCGATTCGCACGACGACCAGGGGCGGATCTAGGGGGAGGGTGCAGGGGGTGCGCACCCCCCCCGAGATGACCTGCGGTTTTCTAATACGACTGGTATTCTGCAAAAAAAATAAACTATGTGGTTTATTGGTGTTGAAGTAGAGCAAGAGACGAGTGCACCCCCTCCTAAAGAAAATCCTGGATCCGCCCCTGACGACATACAACACTCTACAACATGATGGTTCTCCGAGATGTTATTTTAGTTAACCGTGGATTCCACATGTGCAGTCACTATCTTTCCATGCGTATTCCTTTTTTCAACCTTAACGAACGACAAATGCACATCGGGTGAATCGACTTCGTCTGAACGAACTGCTATCGGGCGAATCAACCTTAGGGCTAAACGACCTGAAAACATTTGTTTGATCATAAAGATAATACATGTAGCTATCCACTGACAAACGTGAAAATATGTCAGTTTCTACGTAGGTTTCACTTATACCGTCCCCTTGACAGTGGTCCTTTGATTGAGTAGGGTTCTTACCTGTAGGAACTGATGTAAAATTTGCAACAAATCCTGGGCCACTTGTACCATAAAGACTAAAGACATTGATGCTCAGTTCGTTACCCATGGAGAAAACTGTAAACGAAGCTTTTTGACCTGAGAGCCTGATCGACTGATCTAAATTCCACCCAGGTAGAGCATCCGCAATTGTGACATAGTCATACTTGGCCAAGCTAAAGGAGATAAAATCAACTCGTACCACATTTCCCGCAGGTGCAAGAATCTTCCATGAACATTCAGCGATCAGGCTATAGTTATAGCCCTGTGGAAATCCTGGGGTAGTGATGGTACCAGAGGAATCTTTGAGTAAAATACCCATGTTTTCTTCATAAGAGTTTTCAGAGGAACAAGAGCGAACTGCGAAAAGATAAACAGTAGAATCTCCCGTAAGCGACCACCTAAAATAGTTTAGTGATCGCTTCAGGGCTCTTGGAGAATTGCGGTGACGAGACAAAAGTGAGTTTACGCCACAGGATGGCAGGAAGAAGAGGAGGGCAAAACACTTGTTTGTGATAAGCGTGACAGGGCTATTACTTGCGTGTTCAACCTCGTTCCCAGGGTTCTCTCCTACCCGTCCCTACGGAGCGAGAGATAAGAGAGAGAACCTGGGAACGAGGTTGTTGCGTGTTTTGTCGTGATCTTCACTTAAGGTGGCTGAACACAGTTTTGGCAGTTTGTGAGTACATGTGGTGGTCGATTACGAGAAGAGGTCCCGACACATCTACTTTTTGGCAGACAATTTGTTGCAGGCCATTTGTAAGTTACTTCCGTGTTGTCACTGAATGTAATCGTACCCAGATCTCTTGCCCACTAAGCTGAGTATAACGGCGCGCTGCAAAGCAGGGTTTTATTCAATTTGTTACCCATAAATTGGTAACACCTGACCAAAGAGAAGGACAATAGAGAAACGGCAGGATTTGGGAAAAACTTGAGAATATGTCCTTTGGGCAAGTGAGCTCTTACATTTTGCCTGCCAGGCAGCACTTCTTGCTCGTATTATATTAACCCCTTTAGTCCTACTAGTGACCAACATGAATTTTCTCCTAACAATATCCCTATGTTGCCAAGAGAAATTGTCATGAGAGTTAATAAAATGATCACTAAAGAGAAAATGCTTTGATCTGTCATCAAAGTCTGTCAACTAATTCTTTGAATAAATGTATGAAGATCAGTATGGAGAAATTATATGTGGATATTGGGTCTTAAGGGGTTAATGATTTTGTTAGTGGATGACTTGCTGGACCCTTGCCCATCGGGTAAGTACATGTACAGCTTTAACCCTTTAAAACCTACCATCAAAATTCAAATTCTCATTTGTTATCCTTATACTTTTTCAATAGAAGTAGTGGGGAGAATTTGTTGAAGTATCAATTAGATTCATCTTGTGTGATCATGTCCTTAATTCTCATGACCACTCTGTTTTATAAAGCAGTGATATAACAACGAGAAATTTGACGCTGATCACTCTTAGGGCTTAACGGGTTAAACATTTCTTGCCCAGCAAGAATATCTACTTGTCCTGCCCGACTAACAGACAGGACTGAGTTAAGATAACCCAGGGTTAGTGTGAAATTTGAATTCAGATATAAAAGCTTAAAAAGCAAATTCAGTTTAATTCCTTTGGTCTGTAATTTGGTGATTGGATGCTCTAAAAAGAATAGTGAAAATTATCTGAGAAAATGCTTTTAAACAAAAGAACAAGAGGCCTGGATTAAACTTTAACCCTAGGTTAAAGCTAATCCGCCTTCGAACAACTGGGACCAGGACTTTTTTTTGTGTCCTAAAGGGAACAAAGCAACGGCAATGCTTGAAAACAGACCTCAATGTTTTGTTTGAACCACTTTGTCATAACGCTTCCTACATAAAAGGGTCCCAGGGTGCTTACCATTTACTTGGAAACACTGGAAATTTCGATTGGAAAGTCAAATGGTTCATGCCATTCCGTTCCAGGGAAGCTTCCAAAAATATGGGATGTGGTTTGCGATGAAGTAATTTTTCTACTCTTTGTAGTCTGCTCAGCTGATTTCGATAGAGTTTGAAGCGGTTCGTCTTCCCACCTGTGACGTCAAATTCTACAGTTTTATGTTTATGCACAGAATTTCCACCCAGGTGGTTTGTGTAAATGGTGAGCACTCCTCTTCTTGCTATTTTCCTTATTTTTTATGGCTATTGTCTCATAAACGTTTTAGTGATCTAGTAGCCTGTGCAGGGTGCGAAAAAAGTCAGTTTTATAGCCTGCCATTCAGGAAAGCTTTAGCTAGTATGTACTAGCCCACAATTAATTCATTTCAACTAGACCCAAAACCCTTGATTAGCAGGATTTATTACAATCCTTCTGTAATTTGAATTTTCCCCCAAAACAGCACTTGCCCATCATGCAAGTTAAGAACAAAAATCACAAGCCCGATAGCAAAATCCACTACCCTGGGCTATCGGACATGACTTTCTTTGCATGCTGCAGAGTAGTAGGGGTGTTTCTGCTCGAGTTAATGCACTTAAGCTGGAATGAGAACAAAATGAGTAAAAAATAACCTTCTCCGACTCCTCTCCCACTCCCCCTACCCCCATTTTTTGCTTTCATGAAATAACTCAAACGGAAATGCTTGCTATGTAAGTTAGCGAACAGAACTGGTTAGATCACTAGCTACTTGATTCACTAAGGCTGTTACAGAACTGAAAGCTGAGAATTTTCTCTTTGATGTGGTAACAAAATTTTTATTATGTTTTAACGATGATATATCTGATTATTATTATTACCACCAGTAATCTTACCTGGATGAAGAGATGAGTACTCAATAGTTAACTCATCATCTGTGTTACCACCACTCTTGAATGCAACATACACAGATCGAGACTTAGAATAGAGGAGCCTATACCGGTAACGATCAAGGCCACGATCGGGAAAATGAAATGGAATACGAGTTAAACTTGAACCATTGACATCATAAAACTCAATACTGTCCCCAAAAGAGAGTAGTGAAGAGACTGCCGACACAAAGTCCAGAAACACGACATTATTCTCAGGAGCTGTGATGTACCATCCACAAGTCCTGTTTTTTAGAATAGTAAAGTTTCCTCGTGCAGGTAATGTTGGAGCTACCAAGGTTATATTCTGAGAACAATCTGAAAAATAAACAACACAATATTATTGTGATGCTATATTAACACTCATGTGTCAAGAGCAGGGTGCAGGGAAAGACAGTTTTACAACTCGCCGTGGCTAAGCATCATGTACATATAGCTCAAGAGTCATTTAATTATAACTAGCCCCAAAATTTTTTTGATGAACAGGAATGATTACCATTTTTTTTGGTAATTTGAATTCCCCCCAAAAATTCACTTGCCCATCAGACAGGTTAAGAACAGAATTCACTAGACCAATATATGTAGGCACAAAATCCACTGGCCCCAGGCAACCAGACTACTTTCTTTGCACACTGAAGGGCCATGAAATTATCAACACAAACTAGCAAATGCAACCCTCGTTAAATAAATTTAAGTAAAGAGAATGTGAATGGCAGAAACTCACAAGCTGGGAGGGGGGAGGGGAAAGCAGCCAATAAAATGTTAGGGTGGGGTGGGGGCAGAAGAGAATTGTGAAACTGGGGAGGGAGGGGTTTAAAAGCTGGCCCTTGAATTGGAAGCAACATACCTGTTTGGTTGGGGTGAATTTGAACCCAGTCCCCTTGCTCAGGGATCAGATCATGTACTGGGGAGTCAGCATTAGTATCATCGTCTGGGTTTACCAAATGTTTTTCGATCAATAGCAAAACTTTGGTAAACCTCTTGGTGACCAACCATGACCTTGCTAACTATTGCAATTAATTAAATGTATTAATTTTATTTGCAAATTATACAGTGAAAGCTCCCCTTGCAACCACACTAATAAGCAAACAGCTGTAGATAAACCACCTTTGTGAAACTCTGTTTGAGCTGTGTCTTGTGATGAAAAGTTTTCACAACTGGACTGCTGTCATAAGCAATTGTTCCCCTCAGCGCAAGCGAACACTTTTGGGATTACCCAACTGGACTTTTCCTTTGTTTTAAGCTCTCATGAGCCACCACTGACAGGGTCTCATTCACATAAAAATCTACACTTTGATGAAACTGCACATTCTCTGAGGGGTCCTATTCTCGTAAGTGACCAGTTCTAGTTATAACCACTTTTCTGAGGTGTTTGCTTATGGGGGCTTCAACTGTAATGAGAAATGCTATATTTTTGTCTTGTTATGATTAGGATTACTGAAAACATCCCAGCAGCTTCTGAAGATTTCCAACAATTTTGCGAACAATGTCCGAATGTTGCTGAAAATGTCCAAAGAATGTTCCAGTGATCTTTAAGCACCTCCCAATCTAAAGCTATTTAAAAGGGACAAATTAAAAACATTTTAGCGTGTTTTAAAACACTAAGGTTACAAATTAATTTTGTACCTTCGGCAGCCAATGCTTTGATCAGCAAACAGAGTCCTAAAAATAAGAGGACAAGAGAAAGACACTTGTTTTACACACTACTCCAATGCTCCATGGCAAACTAGCACACTAAAAAAGGTTATTCAACAAATAACTTTGATCTTTTTTTCATTCTTCCGCGAAGAATGAAAAGAAAAGAAGCAATGATCCAATTCTAAGAAAGGATTATTTTTTATTCATTTCCATCATTTCCATAGAAACGACCCACAATATTGAGGGTATCTTGGGGAAAGAATAACACAGCTGCTGACAATGTTGCAAGTTTGCTGATCTTTCACTGTATTCTGGACTGTTAGCTCAAAGATAATGCTTTAGACTGGCCAAATGAAGATAAGTCTTGCAACAAGATATGGACTGGAAAAGTAACGTCTTGCAAGATGCGCTGGCGAAGTTGTGTAGCATTTGTCCTTGTGAACAAAAAAATGTAGGTCCTTCAGTTCTGTATTATGATTTTACTACCACGATAAAACGAAAAAAAAATTGATCGTACAATCCATGAATCAGGTTCATAATGACCGTAAAGTTAAGCAGTGTGATCGAACAACTGACGTATGTATTAAAATTGTTTTGAGTTACCACTGGCAGTATTCACTCTTTTCAGAATTCACCTCCACTGTGGATCTTTTGGATCAATAATCTGTTTTAACTTTTTGGATTTTAGTGAAGGAACGAAATACCTGTTTTCAGATTAAAAATCTGGATTGGGATTTTAGTAAAGAAACCCATCCTAAAAGAATGCACGCACTAACCATTAGCCACCCCTCTTCACCCACCAGGGATTAGCCAAACTCAACACCATTGTCTGGTGGTCCCTGCATGCCTCAGAGGTCTCAAAGGTCAAGAGCTTATATATATGTAGACTCTCAATGAATTTTTGTTAAAAAAATAATAATGCTACAACGTTACCTTGCAATCAATCAATCAATCAACTCCATTTAAACACGGTAAATGGCTCAGCAAGCTGGTTTTCAGACATGCCGTGTGATAATTACAAGTTATAAAAATTAAGACTAGTGATTAACTAACAATAATTAGCACAAGAATTGACAATTTTATCTGTTCCTACCGATTCTCATAAATGTGATTATCTAGTTTGTATGGTAAGCAAGACTAATAATACTAGTAAAAAATAGTACTAATTTGAAATACAATATAACAACAAGAAATGAGTCATTAAAGAAATAAGACAAAAACATAATAAAAAGTTATATCCTAGGATATCACGAGTTTAAAGCTAGTAAGATCCGCCATCCCACGTGTTTTATTTGACAGTTGGATGCCCTGCACAGGAAAAAGATTTAGCTTAAGGGAAACACTTGCCAAATTTGCTCAGGTACATATAAGCTTTTAATACATGAAGGTCATAGAAGCTGACGTGAAATACTTGTCAAATTTGCTCAGGTACATGCATCAGTCAATTTTCCAGCTGTGATGTTCCCAAGTCCTTCGTCTCGCATCCCTAATATTAGTCCCCACACACGCGTTCCAATGTCCCCGTCCCCTTGTCCCTGTTCCACTTTTATACACAGCCCAATAAAGTTCAGGATATGCAAGCAAAACTCAAAACCACAAACTTATTACCGTTGCTGTTTGCGGTCTTGTTATCTCGCGCGTTATTGGCTGATGTCTCGCAACACAATAACATTCCATAAATGTTTCTGGTGTTCACGGTTTTGTGAGTTTCACAGTAATACATGAAGGTCATAGACGCTACATGGGCAATTTTACCATGGAAGGCATGTAAGCCTTTGTTTTCAGGCTTAAAATTGAAGCTCAATTCCAGGCACGTCTCGTTTTAAAAGCATTTCTATTCTGAATCCCCCAAAACTTGGCTGATAGCCACTGCAGTAAGTTTAAGTTTCTATATTAAAGGTCACTTCTCGGTCTGCCTGGACGATCTCCGACATAAGAAGCTCGTTTACTTACTTATACACTTAATCAACCAAAAGCGTATTTGCGATCACCGTAAAAACATTTCAGCTTTGCTACTTACCAAAAAACAAAAACATCCCAGGAAATCTAACGCAAAACCAGACGCAGAACGATGCACACAAAGACGAGCATTGAAGGAGGCTGAAATCATTCCCAGTACTTTTTCCCCGCACATGGGCAGGTGCGCAGACTCCCTCCCCTACTGATTCTACCCCCGCCCCCCTCCCTCCCCAGAAGAAAATTGAAATAAATTCAGTATAACCTACGCTATCAAACACGAACTCGGATAACTCGAATTCCTCGGCCCCGTAACTCGCATCAAAATTTCAGTGCAATTGACCCCGCCCGCTCACTCGAACAGTTTTTCATTTCCCTTCAGAGTTCGAGTTACCGGGTTTCTAATGTACTTATATTTAAAATTTCCACTAACAATATAATATATCCACACAAAAATAAGTAGTTTCATGCCAGTTTTAATTTTATCCATGAGGATTATACTGGACAGTTTTTAGATCGAAGCCTGTCCAGTCTGCGGCCAGTGCCTGAATCCCATAGCCTGCTACGTTTGGGGGTACTCAACAAAGTTGAAAACGGGGAGGCTTCGCCCCGCGGTCCCACCCCTTACAGCTCGAAAAAAAGAATTCTGACTGAAAAGGTACCCCTTTCGTATACCTTCTATTGGCAAATGGTTTAGAACACTGCATTTTGTAAATGCTGTAAATGCATCGTCTTTTTATTATGAATAAATTACTAAACCATTTTCTTGTCATATTCTTACAGACAAAATGAGTATTTTAGTCCTTTTTGGTCCTTTTACAGACCGAAATGACCCTTCGAGTACTGACTTCAAATCCTTTCTTATACCTGAAGCCTGAATAAGTTACCCCCCGAAGCCTCCTCCCCGTATAGGCCATTATAGCCGGAGTACCCCCCTCCGGGCTGCTAAGTAGTTTTTAGCCTCTCATTTCCTAAACTAAGGAATCATTAACTTGAATCTGACGTTTGCAGTGTTCTTGTATGTGATTTTAAATTGATTGCATGATCCACTGACAGACACGTAAAAGAAAACGGGACGCTAAAAAACAACAATGAACCCGGGTGCTGGGAGTGGGGTACTACCTAGTACCTATAATGGCCAATATGGGGAGTCACTACTCCCATCCCCTTCTACGGCGTTTCCCTCTTTTTAGCACCGGCTATTTATCTCACTTCTTTTTCTTTATCAGTTTATACGTACAGTGGAACTTCCATGCCATCTTTTTGGCACCTCTTCAGGTGTTCCAAGCTACCTTTAATTTCGCAGGTCTTTAATTTCGCTTTTTTCGGGATTGTAATAAAATCGCGAAATTAAAAGCACGCGAAATTTAGTGCCCATATAGAAAATTCAAATAACAATTGACATGTAATAGCAACGATGTGTATCGACAAACACAGATTGCTTTCTGGTTTTCCTGGTAAGCTCCATTTTGTGCAAGGTTTCCGGTGTCAAATGACGTAAGTTTGCAAAGATTTCACACACCACACACATTGCTTGTTCCAGTTTACCAACTTTTTTTCTTTGAAGGTTCAGATGAAGCTGAGAACGCTTAAATCGCGAAATTTAATGCCTTTTTTCATTTTACTGGTTAAAATCGCGAAAATAACACCCTGCGAAATACTATTCATCTCACCTTTTTTTCGTTATTAGTTTATACGTACAGTGGAATTTCCAGCAGGCCATCTTTTTGGCACCTCCACAGGCGTCCCAAGTCTTACGCCCCGTTAACATATGGAGAAAACTTAGAGTGCAAAGAAAGTCATTTTTACAGCTTGCCATTCGGGCAAGCTGAATCTAACATTTACTAACCCAAACATCATTTCAACAAGCCCCAAGACAAGTTTAACTTGTCTTGGGTAGATGGGTCACTCGACGATCATACATTGCCTTAAAACACTTGGCGAACCTTTTAGATGAGAAACAAAAAGTTGGCTCGGCGAGAAGGGTGACCCGCCTAGCCCGGTCAAGTTTCCTCCACAAAAGCACTTTGGCTCGCCCAGTAATCCCAGCCATCCCAGCCAAGGCAAGAAAATCAGAGCATGCGCGTGAGCTGTTGGCTCGGGTCAGCAAAGGGGTCAAGGGTTATTTTTCCCAATGTGACTCGACTGGGAAGGTGGTCCTCTTTCCCGGGGCAACTTTTCTCCGTATACCGGAGCCTTACTTATTTTAGGTTATTACGTTTAAGACAAACCAGGCACTTCGTTTAGGCACTTCGTTTAGAAAAAACGAACTAAACTTAAAAACGTATACTTGCAGTTCAAGGGCGTAACCAGCTTCACGACCTAGTTGTACTAGTAGGCTTAGCTAACTTTCGTTTCCACATATCCTGAAAATTGCACGCATGACTAGTACTGTCTGACTTCACCAACACTTTGAGCTCTTAAACTTTTTAGCTCACCCCAACAACACATAATTTATTAAAAGCGGGAGAGTGATCAAACTAAAAATTTGTAGACCCGAGCCTACAGGTCTGTGGGCTGGCTACGCCCCTACTTGTTCGAAGTTGCACTTTAAAATAGAATCTTGAATAACAAGCAAATGGGTCGAGTGGGGCCTCAAGCTACTGTATCCGAGCTTTCCCTCATCTGCGACATCAACAGGGATTCCCTGATGGAACTGGTGTCGCAGCACATGGATAGTCAAATTGTCAGGGCTGTCGCTAAAGCTTCAAGTTGCTGGGTATATGCAAATAGTAGAAGGGGAATTGTACAGATAGGAAGTTCTTTGGGTTCTATTATCCTTTTGTTTCCTATAAAAGTAGCCGGGGCTCACGCTCATAGTAATCGGGGAAAATCCCCGGTCCCCGGCTCTTAGTGACAGCCCTGTTAAACTGGATCGCACTACAATTGACCCATTTTTGTTCGTGCCTTCTAATTCGGAGCAAGAATAATATCTTTTATCTAGATATCGGCAAATCAAGTTTTAAAGAGGCACTGTTTTATGACAAGTTTTTTGCCTAATTGGCCTATGCTGGACCTAGTTTTGTCTACCACCGGCTCCTATAAATTTTGGCCAATTTTTAACAGCGACCTGACACCTTCAAACATCTTATAATCCAAAGTACCAGGCCTCCCAGGGGAGTTTAGGGAGAGGAGACCTCAAAAGCCCCTCTCGCCTGATGCTCGGGCAATGCATTTTATGCTTGCCTTTTCTGACAACTGACAACAAAAACAGGGGACCCTTTAAATAGCTTCCTTTTTCATTATTTTCTTTTGAAAATCAAAGGGAAAGAAAAAAAAGATAGCCGAACTCTCCCTCGTTCTCACTTCCTCACGATTGCGTGAAGTCAAAGCAATACGTTAAGAAAACTTGTCGAGGTTGCCCGTGGGTTGAAATACCATTAAATAGCCATTCTTAGCTCACTACTGTTTACGATATCCAGGGTCACGTCCTGTTCCGGTAACTCCAGATCTAAAGAATAAAAACGCGGGTCTAAGCCAACAAACCCCTGCATTTTGTTTAGTTAACTGTCAGTTTTATCATGTTATCTGCAAAAGTCCGGTGATCATCTCAACTTTCGAGAAACGGGCCCCTGATTTCAAAATCAGCATAACGGGGTATTCGCTTTACTTAACCCGAAAGCTGCAGTGTATGTAGTTATGATCTCAAGTAGAGCTCACTTAAGCTACGATTGTCTGCTCCTGTAGAGGAACGCAGTCAGCATCACGTCGAGACTCATTACGTCGTGACTTGATGCACTTATATCCTACAATTGCAATCAATACACAGGCAGTAGCTGTTCCGAGACAAATCCCCACAATCTTCAAAATGGCTAACGGAGCCCCTAAAAAGCCAACAAAATGACGTTAATTTATTTTGAATACAACTTACTAGGGCATACCAGAAAGGGGTCGATGCCATGTTGTATATTACGAAATATGAGCTTTTCTCTTATAACTCCTTATTTCTATAAATCTTAACAAGAGAGAAAGAGGGAAGAGGGCGAGTCTCCGTGCCCTAAGATAATTCTTTGAAACCTATTAAAAGTTCGCACGCCTACTACGAAGATTATTTTTGTCTGTCGATTCCGTGACCACTCGGTCTACCTTCACGTGAACGTGACAAAAACTTGAAGTTTGACAGCCGTTATATCAAACTGTCACTCCAACAGCCTGGGACCAGGCTCCGTAGTGAGGAGAAAAAGCAAAAAAACGAGGTGAAACAGCAAAAATCGGCGAGCAAAGTGAGCCGAGTGGGGGACTGGGGAGGGTGAAAGGGCGGCGCCACCTTTACACCTCCCCAGACTACGGCTTGGCTCGGTTGGCTCGCCGATTTCTTCGTCGCCCTCGACGATTTTTGTTTCGCTTTTACTCCCACTGCAGAGCCTGGTCCCAGGCTACTTCAAAGATTTACATTCTTGAAATGTTTTTGATCAACACTTTCCACTTACTTTGTCTTAATGACTTCATTCTCTCTTGCAGAGTTCTAGGAGAGTACTACCATAACACGGCGCTAATACGAAGCGCTTGGGGCATGAATACAATCGGGGAATACTTTATATATACAGTACTTACATTTAGTTTTATATCTCGCTTTAAATCCGGGATATTTCGTCTGGCCACTAGAAGTGAACCATAGTGACAGAGCTGATCCTTTTGAAGTGAAAGACGAGGGAATCTTCGACCCGCAAAGTTTTGGCGAAAGATCAACCTCATCAGGGTCATTTGATATCTGCAGGAAATCCAGACAGTCTGGGCTGGCTTCTGATAGATTGAAGGCATCAAATGACAGTTCAATCTGCTTATTCCCACTCACGCGAATGATCCAAGAGCAACTGCCATAGTCGTCGTATGGCAGAGGGTAGTTATAGCTGGCCAGGGTTCCGGATTCAGAATTCAGTTCCACATGGCGGTTATTTGCAGTGCAGGAATAAGACGCTGGCACTAGAAATAGAATGGTCCAAAGTTAAAAAATGATTAGAACCTGCGCCTTAGACACAGTTAATTAAGTTATGATCATTGTGAGGGTAAAGCGGATCTTAAAGGGTTTCAATGGTTTTCAGCGGGAGAGAGAGTGGTAATACTAGTTCCCTGTTAGCAGAGGTGTCTCATGGCAAGAGAAGAAGGAAGGGAAAGATGCCGGCCTCCGATGTATTTTATATCGCGCATGCACTGGCGTTTCCTTAATAACAAGCAACTCTTTAGTCACTTGCGACACAACTTCTAGAACCGGTTTACGCGATAACAACTGTGCGCTCAGAAAATTTTTAGCGTGCAGTCCAAACAGGGCGAACGCATTCCATGTTAAACGAAACCGGTTTTGAAAACCAGCAAGTTTCGACCACAAATGCGGTCGGCGGCTACCTTAAAAAAAAAGGCGTCGGGGGGTCTCTCCCTTCTCCCTTTTTCTCTTACCGTGATAGACCTTTGCTAGCAGGGAATAACACCAGTAAAGTCAAGTAACCTTATTTACGATAACACCATCTTCGTACGCGCTTTAAGATTGATGGGATACAGGCAATGTCAAATGGTATTTTCAGGGGGCAAACAAGTGATAAAAGTTTTCAAATAGACCTCTTTCATAATGGCGGCTTATTGATATATTCTTTTATATGTATGACAATTAGCCTTTCTGACCTCGACCTATTTTATATCAATAGACCGTCATTACGAAAGAGGTCTATACAAGTAATCGCGATCGAGTTAGTTTATTCTCTCAAACCACTTGACGATTTTAGTCATGCAAAATGTACAGATCTAGTTTCGACCATTTTTACACGTCATTATTGCTTGCTTTGAGGACATCTAGTTCAGTTTGTTTAGTTTAGTCTGATGCATTCGCCACAGCTATTACACTAATAAACTTTTGTCCCAATTGCAATTACGGTCGCTACTCCGTCCAAAAAGGTAACAATGTTCAGTTCCACCAAGAGCCATAATAGGGTATGGCTCTTGGCTCCACCCATAATTTGCCATTATCGTTTTTCAGATAAAAAGTTGTCTATTTTCTGCCGACTAGAATAAACAAACTCGACCGTGATTTCTTGTTTATCACCATTTATCCTCCTGAGAAATCACGTGACATCATTTTTATCCCATCAATCCCCAAGGGCGTACAAAGATGGCGGGTGTCGGGAATAAGGTCGACCGTACTTACATTGTGTGACCGCCTCAAACTCTGCGCTGAACGTGAAGTAGTAAGTCCAATCCTGCTTCGGACTCTGAAACCAAACCCAAATATGGCGACCACTAGAGAAGTAGGAGGACCCGTAAAACGGCTGCTCACAGATTGACCTCAACAAGCGGCTGGAGGAATTTTGACCGTCACGAATTTCGAAGGTGGAATGAGGGCTGCAATCTACGTCTAACTTGATAGAGGTTAATCGCAACTTCACAAAATTTCCTTTGGGGACTGTTATCATCCACGTACAGTTGATACTTCTGGGAGGGGTTGGTTTGGGATAACGAGGTGAGAATAGTCGTCCTCTTTTACCAGACATGGTAATGGTTCCTTTGCTATTGCAGGGCCCTACAGACGCTATAAATTAAAGCAAGCAGTTGAAAAAGGCAATCAAAAGAAAGAAAAATTATACATTACTCCAAATACATGGACAAGGATGATAACTTCTTTGGCGAGGGTCAATTAAGTGTGGCATTCGCCATTCCGCTCGCTTCGCCCTTAATACACCTTGCTTGCTCTCAAACATTTTATAGTTAGTAAATATCATGATAAAAATTCTCCATGTTTCTCTAAATAACGATTTTTCTTCCGTTTAAACATGCTTAACAGCACACAAGAACGAAAACTACTTTGCCTGGCGCCGACAAGTCCTCACTTTCATTTCTAAAACACGTCTTTTAGTCAACGTAGATTAACAGCACATCCATCATTTATGAGCTAGAAGGCTTATTATATCTATAAACGTATCAAACGATGCGTTTGAAAAGGCGCCTACAAAAACATTACACCAACATATATAGTAGAACTAGCTATAATGCATAAATTTTTACGTAATTAATTATTCTCTGAAATTTTGTAGCTGTTGTGAACACCATAACTGTTTCTATTTGTTTGTAATCAGCTTTTGCTGTGTTTGGCTAGCGCAGTGAAATAAATTTGTTGATATTGTTGATTGAGAAACGAACTTCGCCACAGAGTATCGGCAATTCAGCTGCATGGACAAAAAAGAAAAGGTGCAAAACACCGCCCCAGACTCAAGCGCAACCTCAAAATGCACCATTAACCTTTTAAACCTTAATATCAAAATTTAAATTCTCAATTGTTTTCTCTATACGTTTCCCATAGAAGTAGTGGGGAGAAATTGTTAAGGTATCAGTATGCTGATTACTCTTATGGCTTTGTTATAAAGCGTTAAGGCACTAAAAACCAGCTTTACTTACGGTCGGGCACTGCAGTGAAGCTGGCGTGGAATCCTCGATATCTTGCCAAGCTATTGGCTACAAAGTCAACGTAAACTTTGGGGTAGTTTGAGAGAAGAACTGGAGGCAGAGATGTTCCACAGTACCTTCCGATAACAGTGGACCAGGAAATGTCCATACCCTGTTTAATCTCCACATAGTCCGCTCGACATTCTGGAGAATATTCCAGATCAAATGAATGAAAGGTGAGCTGGATAAGATATCCTGTCGGAACTTCAATATCCCATGAGCATGCAACATTGTTAGTGTACAGAAGAGGATAGTCTAAACTTGCGAGTTGACCATGAAGGCCCCGAAGGTTGATGCGTGTGTTTTCTCTGGAACAAGAGTACCGCTCTGGGACCGTCTTTAAAGCTTCGTACGTTGCTATCAGCCCGCCTTGTTCAGGTGAAGTTGAAAGTTGCGAAAACTTAACGATTACGTTATTTCCTTTTGAGTAAATCATAGTTTTGTTTAAATAATAATCACAATACTTTCCTAAAAACGCAGTAGTGGAGCTCGAAACATCAAACACTTCCGCATAGCTCTGGTTGCACAACCCCAAGAATCTCCAAAAAGAGAGCTTTATGAAGTACCCAAGCGGGGCACTGATATTCCAACTGCAGGTTCCAACCCCAGGGTTTCGTGGATAGCCGCGTGTAGAAAAGCTCATCCCCTCTCCACGTATGTACATGCTACTGTTCTCTTTGGGTATGCAAGCTCCTGAGGAAACTAAGAAAAACAGAGTAGTTATTTTAACAGGGTTATGTCACCATCCCTAGGGATTCGTGGATAGCCCAGTGTTAAAAGCTCCTCCACTCTCCGTGTACCTGAGTACATAGTACGGTTCTCTTTGGTTAAGCAAGCTTCTGAGGAAACTAAGAAGAACAGACTGGTTATGATGAAAGGGTATGTCACGAGTACATTGCTTCGCAGAGCAAGCCCTTTGGGGATCATTTTACGTTTCTGGGAAACTGCCCACCTACCCCTCCCCTAAGCCAACATTTTGCCGTAAGTGAGAAGTAAGTGTTAAAGACGACTCAGGGTAGGGGTAGGTGGACAGTTTCATGACGGCTTAGGGGAGGGGTAGGTGAACAGTTTCATGACGGCTTAGGGTAGGGGTAGGTGGACAGTTTCATGACGGCTTAGGGGAGGGGTAGGTGGACAGTTTCCCAGAAACGTCTAATGACCCAAGTTTAAAAACTTTTCTTACCCCCAGGTATCATGGAGTAATTCGCAGCGAATCCCGTAGCACTACCGTGATGATAATTCCCATATATGTCAAAACGAATACCAAGCTCGCGTTCTGTTGAGAATACTGTAAATGAAGGTTCTGTGTTCCTTTTGTTGAGTACCCATGGATACCAGTCATACCTGCCATTATTAATTTCAACCTCGTCGCCAGGATGGAGTTGAAAGGTTTCGAACGTCAAGCGCACTACTTTTCCCTTCGGAGCTATTAACTTCCAATAGCAATCGCGGACTGAGTTGTTGGAGTACCCCAACGGAAAGCCCGGAGTCTTTATCACACCAGACGGGTTTCTGAGCAAGATGTTTTTGTTTTGATCGTAGGAATTCTGAGTTGAGCACACCCTCCCTGTTTAAAGACGAGAAGTACTATCAATAATACTGTCACTTGCAACGTTGCAACGGAGAAACGTCAGTAAGAAATAATCACGCCGCAGAAAATTATTACCCCCATGTAGATTTCCCCTGGGGGTACTCGTTGCGGGTTTTTGGGAAGAAACCGTCCCCTCCAATACCCTCCTTGGCATGAGCGCCCCAAATAACTCCAAATAATATTTAGCGCTTAAACGCTTTGTGATGGGCTATACAATATGATACTTTCATCATATTGATCAATCGACTCTTTTTCCGCGTGCACGTGTATACCGACTGGGTTTGACTCGTCTGTCTGCGCCAGTTGTAGTCTGATTCTTCAAAACGCGAAGATAAAATTGCTCTACATGGTAGTATATAAGTTGTCTGTTTTTATACCAACAAATCGGTCTGCTTAAAGCTAGCCTGGTCCAGGCTCCTAGATACTCGGGTCCGCTGAATTGAGACAGCGCGAACGCGAAAATAACGCCCCGCCAACTTTTCGCAAGCCAATCACTTTCGCGACTTCCCCACTATCTGAGAGCCTGGAACAGGCTAGCTCAAGGCTATAGCCAGACTTTTGGTATGGTCGAGGGACGAGAGCACGCCCCAAAGAAAAGTTTTCAATCTAGAAGCTCTAAAACGTGCTTCTTTCGAGGTATTCTTCAGCAAAAGATCAATGTCAGTCAACTGGTGTCTACTTTACCAGCAAAAATTTTTAACTGTGGGTTCAAATCTAGATGAGGCAGGTGCCTCGTCTTGCCTTTGGCTTGTTCCTACAATCCTCTAACCGGTCATTTCGATACACAGTCGTTTCGATACGAACTCAAGCATTGAAATAGGCCACTTGTTGCACTAAGAGGTTACGTGACCAACGCTTCCTTTAAACAATGAGTTGGAATCTCGCTTATGCCAAAAATTGACAGAGCACATAAAAATTATCTTATACCCGAAATTTGAGAGGAAGCGCATTTAAGGGAGATATTTCATGGCACTTTTATTTTTCAACAAAGTAGTAAGATTTGTATTGGCCGCCAACTTGTCGGCCAAAACTACTTTTAGCTTATATCTTGTTAAACGTTTGATAGTTACGCTCAGATGTGCTGTAAACGTTTCCAAATCATATTTTCAACATTTTCGTTGAAGTTTAAGTGCAAAATTTGAGTTCAGAGAGAGATAATTCATAACTTCAAAAATCACATTTTGGTCACGTGACCAGCTACGAACTTACCACTCATAACTTACCACTCATTTTAAGAAAATGGTACGGGTTTAAAAAACCACATAACTATTATTTTCTTTTAGATATGACCCACTAATGGTTTTGAGAAGGCAAAATCATATAACTTTCATTTTCAAAAAAACGATATCACATGACCTCTTAGTGCAGATGGCCTATTGCACCTAGGGTGCTGTCTCTGTCTACAGGCACAGATGTTATTTTTACTTCGCATTGTTTTTATATTGTCCCTTACTATGTGAGAGCCTGGCAGAGCCTATCCTAGTGGCACAACTTCAGTAGACATAATGCCAGCCTGTAAAAAGAGTATAACTAAGTCTATGACAAAAAGATAAAAGTGGTTTTATACCTGGTTTAAAGGCTGTGTAACCAACAACTATCTTCTCCTTGATGACATCTTTATTGTGATATTTAAAAACAATGTACAGATGTCGATACTTTGAGAAAACCGTCGAGTAAGATGGGCGGTCCGCAAAGTGGAGATCTGAGCCATCCACATCATAAACCATAACAATGCTGTATTCAAGCAGCAACAAGGATTTTGAAAATTGTACCTTAACAATATGATTCTCAGGAGCGGTGATGAACCATCCACAGGACTTCAAAGGAAAGCCAAAAGGAGGATAAGGGAGGTAAAAGGTGGTTTCTGTAGGTGACCCAGGGGCATCCAAAGTTTTGTTCGAAATACACTCCCAATCTATAAGAAATATAAACATAAATGTACCACTGTCAATTACTGTTCATTAAAATTCGTTTTTAAGAACTTTAATTGGTGCTTTGTTCTTAGGAGTAGGATACTGGTACACCTATGAGGGGGGCATAAGGGTTTGCAGTGATGCGGTTTTGCTTGATATTTGGTGCGGTTTTGCGGAAATCTTTACTTTAAGTTGCGGTATTGAGGTTTTACAAAACCAAGCTCAGTTTGTGATTTTCTTATGTTATTCTGTGCGATGTTTATACATATTTCTGTGGGGTTTTGCGGTGTTCATACCCCCCTCATGCCCTCCTCCTACAAATGGGTCTGTGTTCTCCAACAGGCCTTTGATTATTTTTGAAATCCCATATCTAGCTACTGTGGCATCCAAGGAAATTTGAGACATCTCAAAGAATGGGATATCATTTTACAAGCACAAAAGTTTCACCGTATCACAAAAAAAATTTTAAACATCTGGAATGGGGCAGTAATAGAACAAAGAACTCAGCAAGGGGCCCTTCCAACATTAATCAGCCAACAACAGGTTAGGTATACTGCAAAAGAGCCTGCCTTTAATTTGAAAATTCATTCGCCAATAAAACTCAACATCATTTTAAATCTTTAAATTTATAAGTTCTGGTGGTCTTGTTTGAGTTTGTTCCCAAAGTAACAGAAACCTGAGTTCCTTTTTTGAACCACGGTAAAGAAAATGTCGATAGAAAATACCAACCCCCAAAATATCCAAAACGTCCTTTTTTATGTCATTGATTATTGCATACAGGATGGAACTCTGTTCTATCATAAGCTTAGGATTCCTTAGTCAATCACTCTGTTTCTAGTGCAAAAGGAAGGCCCTTGATGGTCAAGATGGCCACTCTGACAAAAAGCTTATAATTAGGGTGTGGCACATAGAGAGTGACTCCACAGAAGTCTGTCAACTTTAATTTGGGTTCATTCAGCGAAGATCCACTATCTGTCAGTGATAAGTGGCTTTCACTTATTAGGTCAAGTGGAAAGTTCACAAAATCTGTTGATCTGTTTAGAAAACATTTTCCTTGCCCCCCAGTCCTCCCCCCGCTGACTACCCTGTTCCATACTGTCCCATTATCACAGTGTCAGTCAAAGGCATCCAGAATTTCCCCTTAAAGATTACAATATTTTACCTTTACCAAAAGCCCATGTCTTCATAAATGCCAAAATCAGCACACCTGAAAATTTTCATGATAAATAAATAGACTTGATGTTGATATGGTCTTGTTGTTACATCCCTGTACTTCAAGCAAATTAATATCAGGCTGGGTTTAAGCTTTTTGAGGGCAATACAAGTACATAACAGGGTTCTCAATAGATTTTTAAGTAGGAGGTGATCACTGATAAAGTAGGAGGCTCTTCAGCAAAGCCAGAGGTGTGAAAACAAAGCAAAGAAAAGCGACTTAAACACAAAGTAAGCGGCTATAAATCCCAAAGTAAGCGGCGATCAATCGCCGGGTGCCGCCTTCTATTGAGAACCCTGCATAAGCTTGGTAAACCTGATTACATTAATGTGGAAAATTTGCATATTTCTGGTTAGCTGGAATCATAGTATTGTTATATATGGTTCAAGCATCAAAGCAGCTTTGCAGCAGCAACTTCAGCAAACAGAGCCAAGTGCCTAATTGGACCACTCTGACCCATATAATTGGTACCAATTTCAGCACTGAAGCACACACTAACAACTCCACAGTATCGCTAGTACCTTACACATGCACACAGCAGAACAAGTGCAGGCAGTGGTAGCCATGGACATGCAGGCTAGCTGATTCCAATGTTCTCATTAGCACTCATCAGCATTGTAGAGGCCTGGGTGAGAGATCTCACTTGGGATCACGAACCCTGCCATTTGCCGCCAAGGCTAGTGCAAAAGCACTCCTTAAAGCACCAGCTTCACCAAACACAAAAAGTGGTAGCTGTTGGCTGGGAACTTTGATACAGTTCTCAGCAAGCGTATGGAGATGGAATAAGCAAAATTGACTGGTGTACCCCAAAATTTTCTTGTTGTCCAGTTGGTAGTGTATGCTTCAGATTGCCACAGATTACTTCAGGTAATTAGGGGAGGCAGCTCATTCAGACTCTGATATTTAATGCACCTATCGATGTAAACCCCTTGAGGGTGAAGCACGGGTAATAGGCAGCTTTGCTAAACTGAGCCCGTGATGATATACAAGAAGTGGAAGATGGCTTTCTCCCATGAAAGTTTCGACGAAGTGGTTCAGAAGGCTTTAAAAGATTTTAACATTCCTACCATCGAGTCCTTAACTCCATATCAGTTGAAAAAATCTGTCGGCTGCTTCTACCTTCTTAATAGCACCGTCAATTTTCTGTTTGCATTTTCTGCAAATGCGATATGATTCTTTGGGTTACACATCTCTGCTCGCAGTGTAATGTAAGCTTGCCCTTCCTCGTTTGAAACATTCAACTTAAAAGGTATGTGAAATAAAAATTTCTTGTCTGTTAATTAGTATTATGCCCTTCCCTTCTCCCTCCCCCCACCACCCACCCCCTGCTTGAGGTGCATAATACATCCCTCCAACCTCATCCCACAAAGAAAAATCTGTCATGATAAGGTATTTCTTGTTTCAACAAAACCCCTAAAATCGTTTTCCACCCCCATAAAATTCCTCTAAAAATTTATAATTGACCTCATAAGGGTTTTTTTAAACTCCGCTCCTAAAGAACAACACAACTATTTCAAGTTTACTACACACCTGAGGAGTGTTTTGATATCAATTCAACGAGGCACAGTATATTTATTATTTATGTAGTGATCTATAAGGCTACATTAAAGCTAGAAAGATAAAAAAAGTTACTACTCACCAATATAAAGTAGCTTCACCGCCATTGAAGACTATAAAGCTTACATCGATATTGAATATAAAAATGTCCACAAACTGGTCACTCGACTGACAGAACTCGCGAGCATCAAGTACAGCCAAACACGGAATTTAATACTCTTTGATGCTGTCCAGAATTTAGCCTTTTATGTTAGCAACAAAAAGCTTAAGTAAAACGAGAAAACAAATTATTTGCACACAGTAATATTAAAAACATCAAACGCCTGAGGAAGCAATATGAAAATCTGGGACCAGCGGAAGAGAGGTCAAGAGCGGGCGCCTAGAGTTTGTAGTATTTTTGGTCAGCGGAAATTTGCATAAATTTCGTAGGTAGTTCATTCATGTATGGAGACATATAATGTACCTTACTACACAAAGGGTGGTAAATCCCCACAAGCAGCGCAAGCGTTCCATGAAAGGAAATCGCGATTTGGAAAATTACATTAAATCAGTTGAAGGCTAAACTAAAAGAGCATGTATATTTGGGCAAAGAAGAGTACAGTAAGTGAAATAAACCTTCAGCCTTGAAAGGCCTTTCGTTGTCCAGGTGACCATTCTCGACACCATTTTCAGTAGGCAGTTATATGCAGTGACGTACAGTGGTGAAGACCAATCAACATCTTGGAAAAAGTAACTTGAGCGATAATCCACTTCTTCTTGTCGTCTGCTCTTCCCTTTTTTATTTTCTTATTCGTCGTATTGTTTTCTTCCCAAAATGGGGAACATGCGGAGGTAGAGACGGAGTTGCTTGTCCGTAGAATTAAATGAGCTTCACTGGTTAACTATGGTTACGTACCAAAGTTGGTGAAGTTGCCGCTTTAAAGCAAGGGAAGGCTGCACTGACTCTATTTCATGTTTCTTTCATTTAGCAGTGTAATCAGTTGTAAGACATTGTTTATTCAAGAGCTTATTCCAAGGACAGCTTTTAATGTCAACATCAGCAGCGAAAACAGTGGTGGAGGGGTATTCCCGAGAATTTTTTTGGGGGGTGTTCCACCCGGTAATCTAAATCCTGACCCTATTTCAGACCAAAAAAATGTTATTTTCCACACCAGTTGCCAGACCCGGCTTCTTAAATCCATCCCCTTTTTCAGGCATGGTATAGGTTGAAATTAAGCTATCATTTTTAGACTAAAGCTCAAACGAAAAGATTTCTTACAATCCATGTCGAATACGCATATTACTCTTTCTCTCGACAAATACGTTCATACACTTCCGTAGTTACCACGAAAACAATACCCAATTCCAGATCAAAATGGCCGGGGCAAAATCCATATTCTGACCCGTTTTGAGACAAAAATGGTGCAAAATCCACACCCTTTAGGGCCGCACATACCTATATTGGCTCATATAAGGGAGTACCCCTCCCCCCCCCCCAGGGAGTGAAAAGCTGATGCTTTATTAAAGGAGATGTGTGTCACGAAGTTTATATAAATTCAAACAGTGAGAGCTTGTGGGTACTCCACCAATATTTGGGTATATGTGAGCCGCTGAGGGTTTGAAACCCTGACCCTGTTTACAACAAGAAAAAAAACTAAAGTACATTCCCTTATGACAACACTCTCAATTTTATTACCCTGTGTAGGACAAACATACACGGGGTCTTGTTTTAACGCCATTTATTGGCCGGCAATTGCTGAATAGACTAAATTCACGTTATAGTAATTGCTTTTGTATACTTGAGATACAAACAAATTTCTTCCTGTTTATATTTAGGAGAGACTCGCACAAAATCGTATACAATGTTTAGGACAGACTCGCGCAAAATTTTATGCCCCTGTTTAGGACAGAGAGGCCAATAACCATACCCTGCCCGGCGTCACATCCCCGTATAGGCCATATAAGAGAGTACCCCACTCTCCGGGCTTAAAGCCCTCCCCGATGAATGCAGTAAACAACAAATAACCAGTTCGTTTCTGTTAATGTGGGTCGGAGGTTTATTATACAGAAGTCAATTTGATACTGTGTCTGTTAGTCTGAAGGCGCGCCCCAGGAGTCAGTAGTGTTAGTTGCCGGCAAAACGTTCCAGGTTAATATATCTCTGGTCATGAGCTATCAATTAGCTGATAGTTTGCTGGATGCATTTTTTAAGTCTGGATTTCTCTTTAATAATTGCCCCTATTCAACCTATTCAACAAAGTTGACAACAACCAAGCTCTTCCCGCAATAATACTCTTTTGTTTTCTTCAGCTTTGAATCATGAATGTAATAACCTACTTTTAATTGCCCAAAACAATTTATAGCGGGGCGTTCTATCGCCATTGTTTTCAGGTATTGATCGATCTCTCAGTGCAGCTAAATAAATGCGTAAATTAAGCCAAACATGGGAAAATAAAAAGCCTGCGGAGGAGAGAAAGATACTATACAAGGGGATTGAGAAGTTTGTTGGGATAAATTCGGGATCACTTTGTTGTATCAGTAAAATTGAGAGTCAATGATTATAAAAGCAGTTGCAAAATAAGCTAAAAATACAGTAGTAGAGGAAAGCCTGTTCGGTCAGTTCAGTGTACGCATGAAATTCATGTTAATAGTGATCATAACCATTTCGTAAACCAATAATTTCACATTGCCGGTGTTATTTGCTCACAGGCATTTTACTAGTCTCCTTCGCAGCCGTTATTAGGGTCGTCACTCGTCACGCAACGCTGGGGAGGAGCGTTGCGTGACGAGTGACGACCCTAATAACGGCTGCGAAGGAGACTAGCATTTTACGAAATGAAAGTTAGAATTTTGTTTGAACTGAACTGTTTGAACTCAGTGTATTAGTAAACTGAGCCGTCCAGGAAACGTTGAACTTCCATTTTCGCCTAGCTGTCCTGACTGTCCTGAGCCCTTCCCGTGAGTAGCGTTCTTCTCCGAATAATCCGTCTAGCTTTTTCCGTCTATTTTGAGGACGGGCAATCCATCTCTAAAACGGCCAATAATCAGTAGGACGAAAGTCAAGCAATGATTGACGAAAACTATTGGAAGAAAAATTATCATCTCATAGCTGTAGAGATAGTCAGCCTGGCTTCAGTGTTACCTATAAACACCATGTGAAATTATTGGCTTTTGAAATGGTCACATTAACCTGACGAGTTGCGCAAACTGTTGCAAACTGAAACATTTCCTCATGACCACTACATTTGCAACTACTGCCTTCAAAATATCTAACTTGGTCCACAATTAATACAAGGGCACCCAACGACGGTTTCATTCTGAAAACATTAATAACACTTTTTAGGCTATCCAGAGTACGTTTAGATCTCTAGAGATGCATTCTAAGCGGCGCTATAAACTACCTTTTTGGTCATCCTAGGAGAACTGGAATCTTAGAGCGAGAGAGAGAGAGACTTTATTTTATGAGGTGACACGTAACAGTAACTGAACATTACTGATCAACTTGTGGCCCTCTAAAAATATAAAAATATGATTTATAAAACTACATTAGCAATAAATAAAAAAAATGATAAATGATAAAAATCTATCCTATCCGGTCTGGATAGCGCTATCCAACGTTTGAACAACCGAGGCCTGTTCTTTACTGTGTATGTTAAGTGCTAACATCAACCCCGGGAATTTAGAGCTTTGTTAACCAAATGCTTGGCAGGCGAATAGTCATTACCAACTCATGGATCCTGCGGACAGACATTTTCTAAGGTTATGAAAGACTGGCTTCTCAGTCAGTATAATATATTTCCGACCCACACTATAATCCGTGGCTATTTGGTTGACGCCATTTGTCGTAGAGGGCATTTTTTTTATTAAAGAGACGGTGTCTGAGATATTGAAATGTTCAAAACAAAATGGATTGTCTGATTATATGCTGTAACTAAGAGTTAGTCCTTGCACTTTTAGAAAAGATTAGCATACAATACGTCTAGTCTGCACTTAATTTTTCGCATAGCAAATTTCCTGTAAATCTCACATGCATTGGGTTTGACGTATTTTGAAGACATGGATAATCTGCAGGGTGTATCCGTCTGTAGCGTGAAAACGGCCAATCCTTCAAAATAGACCGATGAAGTCAGACGGACTCTTCGTCCAAAATGAAAAACTAGGACGTAATTAATTAGAAAAGGCTAATCCTGGGCTAATCCCTCTCTAGTGTCAAAACGATCTGTGAGCAGAGACTGAGACAACAATAAGAGCAGGAGGAGTTTAATTTGTGAAGGGCGCTCAACTCTTTATCAATATACTGACTTCTGAAAAAAAAAACCTAACTTCCATTTCGTAAAATGGGTATGAACAACTAACACCATGTTGCGTTATTCTTCCATGAAATGGATGTGTAATAACCTTTTGAAACTTAATCAAGACAAAACTGAACTTGTCGTCAAAATCTTGAGTGTTCGGGTGGGAGATGAGTTCATTGCTCCCAAGTCGTCTGCATGTAACCCAGGAGTCATCGTGGACAATTGCTTTTTTATGAAAAAACACGTGAAAAAGATATGCAATGAGGCAAATTACCATGTCAGGAACATATCAAAGAAACAAACAAACATTTCCTCAACTACATTTACAACTACTGCCTCCAAAATATCTGACTCCATGCACAATTAACACAGGGGCAGCCAACGACAGTTTGCTTCTAGAAACATTGAAAAAACTTTTTACTAGGCTATCCAGAGTACGTTAAGATCTCTATAGAGATGCATTCTAAGCGGCGCTATAAAATTTGTACCTCGGTCATTCTGGGGGAACTTGAGTCTTTTAGAACTATTAACAAGGGGCTCAGTCAGTTATTTTTCGAAAATATCAGATGCAATTGATCTGATAACTTTCTCCATCACATTTTTGAATCCGAAAATTTTACTTAGTTTTTCTTTTTTCTTCGAAAAATAGCCTAACCTGTGGAGTGAAATGTGAAAAATCAAACTTCGGAAAATGGTACTAGGAGATTTTATTCGGATAAGCTTCGAAAACTGTAGATGAATGGAACGGTCATGTAGAAATTTTTAGCCGTCCTTAAGTAATAGGAAATTCTAGGCAATGTTGGTTTCTCAAAATAGATCAGTATTTTACAAAAACCAGTCAGTCGTTGGGTGCACCTGTTGATATCTCTGACCAGAGCAGTGTCGAATTAATATCTCTCATGGTAGAGTGATTACGCCGGAATCTTTAATTCTGACCGTCAAATCGCTTAAGAAACAAATCGGCATAAAAATGTAAAGGGCCTAAAGGGATTTAAGGGTAGTCTTGGATTTTTAAATGCAATCTACAAACCTGATCTCTGTGATTTCACCATCACTGAACCGGAACGGATGACGCGTCCGT